TGAACCAGTTTGATAACACAGCTGAACGTACAAGAAACAATCCTTGAGTTTCCTACCCCAGATGGTCTCTTGCGTCTATTGTGTCTTTGGTTTAGCAGTTCACAGGTCTGGAGTCAGCTCTAAAACAGTCTAGTGGATGTCTGATGTTTATGCTTAAGATATTGTTCAGAATATATGCACAAACCCCACATGAAATTTTTCCTAGTTTATCTGTGTTTTAACTAATCAGGTTAGATCACCTATATGTACAACGCAGTTAATGACGTTATGTGAGAGTATAATTGTTATTGATTGGTGATTGTAAGCAGAGCGGCCTAGGAACTCATTGCGAGTGTTGAAGCTGGCTTCTGCTGATGAAACTGCAAACTATCTTCACTAAACTTGATTTTTTCATTTAAATCTCTGACTCCGGCTCTTTTTCATCTGACAGACTGCTCATTGTTTGGGGTAAACTGTATACCATCCCTACAAAGGCAAACACCTTTTTTACACAGGGTTACATAGTTTGTATTTTGTTTTCCCATAATAATAAAAACTTTCAAAACCACTATTTGTATTTTAGTAATTTGGTAAAATAATTACATTTATCAATAACCGTGTTTGTGTAAAACATTATTTTTGTTAATCTGTAAACTGATTACATTGTCTTTAATAAAAAAAAATCTGTTATTTACACCACAAAAAACTTGCCATGTTTGCAGAATGGTTAAATTAATTTTTAAACATTATTATTATAAATTCAAAAAAGAGTTGAAATTGTTATTTGTTAAAATAACCCTGATTTATAACCACGACTATCAAAAAGAAAAAAAAACCTCTAAATTACAACATTTTTTAATTTATTTATTTATATATATATATATATATATATATATATATATATATATATATATATATATATATATATATATATATATATATATATATTATTTTGTAAGAAATGTTTTAGAGCTTTAGGAAGGGGTTGCAAATAAACTCCTATGTTAAGGTACGGTTTGCTATTTTGGTACCTTTGGCAGTGAAAATTGAGATAAACGCACACTGTACTTTACTTTAAAATAGGCCATTATTTCATATAATTATAAAATATAAAGTATCAATGTGTCATTTATTTATTTATTTTGTGCAAATTAATCATGGTTTTGCTACATTACCCATAGTTTAACCATGGTATTTGTCGTATAACTGTAGCTATACAAATGGTAATCAATAGACTTTAAAGCATGGTTACTACATAAATAAAACCATGCTTAATTTTCATAAGGTACATTTTGTTTTCACTTTGACACATTATATATTTTTTTAACCTGATATTAATGAATCATTTTAATGAGCTGTGTTTTATTTACCACATTTAAGGAATACACTGGAGACTTTGAGGTCCAGCAGCTCTATGACTGTAATTGGATTGTGGTCAATTGCTCAACACCTGCCAGCTACTTCCATGTGCTTAGGAGGCAAATATTATTACCATTCAGGAAGCCAGTAAGACAAAACTTGCTCCTTTCTGTGTGTTTACAGCAAATCATTCTCAATGTACTTTGTGCATTAATTATTCTCTTCTTGCATATCTGTTACTTTGCAAATTTGAAACTGTACACATTGTGAATTGTAGTAGAGGTTTAGACTGGAGCTGTAAGATAAATGACACACAGGTGCTGTGATGTAGATAGACTTTATAAACTGAAGTCTTAACTTCATAACTTTATGTGAAAGTTTAACACATCCCAACGCTCTTTTGCTTCTGTGCCACTGCATTTGTTTAAAGTGATTCCCTGTTGTGGAGAAGTGCAGAGGTTTGTGGAGCATGAGAAAATCTCTTCCTGAGCAAATTAAACTGTGAGCGTCTGGGGATGCTGTTGTTTGTTTTGTATGAAAGTGCTCTTAATTTACTGTTTTGCTTGGTTTCACAGCTGGGTTTTTAGCAATATTTTGACTTAGACTGAAGTTTTAAACTTCCTAAATGCATCTTTAAATCAAATACAGTTAGTCTTTGTTTGACTGAACATATTTTTTTTTCTTTTCTTTTTTTAGCTGATCATTTTTACACCAAAGTCTTTACTGAGGCTGCCTGAGGCCCGCTCCAGTTTTGATGAAATGGTCACAGGTATAATATTCTTGTACAAAATCACTGTAACACTTTAAATCAGCACTTTAGAATTTCTGACTCTGACGCAGCTCCATTGTTAAAGACAATCAAACAATTGTAAAAGCCCTCAAGATATTTCTGCTCATTTTCCAACATTTTTATTTACAGAGTTCCCACTGCCCCACTGAAAATGTATTCATTTTTACTCTCCATCAAGTGTTTCAAACCTTTAATTGTTTCTTTCTTTTGTTGAACAAAAAAGAAGATATTTTGAAGAAAGCTGAAAACCTGTAACCATTGATTTCCATAGTAGAAAAACAAATACTATAGAAGTCCATAGTTACAGGTTTCCAACATTTTTCTAGAGAATGAAATACAGAAAGGGTTGAAACAAACTCCTTTACCATAAAATAGAGTAGGAGCCCCATATTTACAGTTAAAATAACTTTAAAATAATACTTAAACATAATTTTCAAACCTAAATACATCATTATTTATATCATTATTTTGATTAAAAATGTTTAATAACAACATTTGCTTGAAGTAATTGAATAATTATTTCATTTGCAGTTACATAAGCAATTTTTAATGTAAATGTTTTTGAGGTTTAACACTTTATTTAATAAAAAAAAGCATATTGCTACTCTGTTGTTAATTATTTTTTATGTATAATAATTTATCCAATTTCCATGTTTTTCCCAAGACTAGAAATAAATTTCAGTTTTCAAAATTGTTAAACTTCTTATATATTTCAGCTATATGGAAACCAAAGTTCTTGGATGTAAAATTATTGGATATTAAAAGGATAACTTAAAATAAGAAACATAAAAAAACAAGTTTTAAAAACTTCTTAAGCTTGTTTTCAACCACACTGTGTATGATTTTAGATCATATTGCCATGACCCCCTGATTGAAAACAATGGCTTTAAACTGTTCCCAACTTTGGTGGATAAAATTTCTAACTTTCTCTTTGCAGGGACAAAATTTATCAGGGTAATTCCAGATGATGGCCCTGCATCCAAAAACCCTGAAAAGGTCAAAAGGGTCATCTTCTGCACTGGAAAGGTGTACTATGAGCTAGCCAAAGAAAGAAAACAGCTGAAGTTGGAAGAGAATGTTGCAATAGTCCGACTGGAGCAGGTCGCCATAATAGTTTCTTTATTTTAAGTACAATTGCACAGAAAAAAAAATTACTTTCTTTGTCAGAAACATCAAATACATTTTTTTTTTATCTTAGATATCGCCATTCCCTTTTGACCTCATCAAGGCTGAGGTTGAGAAGTACAGCAATGCTGAACTCATATGGTGTCAGGAGGAGCACAAGAACATGGGCTACTATGATTACATAAGGCCACGTTTCCTCACAGTCCAACCAAAGAATCCAATATGGTAAGTGTCTTTTGGAGATAAATGTTTGAGCCACTTAAACAAAAGTACAGTGGAGATCAAACTCAGGTCAGTGTTATGTCTTGTTTGAGATTATCCTAACATGATTAAAAGAGCATATATTTTAAAGGACAGTTTAATTTGTTTGGGTCTGATGGGAAACATTGTGCTCTATTTTAATTTAAGTGCATACAGTAGCACACATAATCTCAGAGTGTGTCAAAATCTGAACTTTTGCTGGTTTACAGGGATAGTTCACTCAAAAACTGAATGTTTTATATGTTATGAACTTTTGTGCTAAACAAGTCACGTTATTGATGATAATACAGTCCCTTACTGCATTGACAATAAGACAAATGAGCACCAACTCACACTAAATATTAGGCTTATGCTAGTTTTGTAAAATAAAATAAGAAAACAATGTTATGAAATATGACAAGAAGATGCTGCGCTGCCAGACACGTGTATTATTTTCGGCTAAGTGAATGAGTCGTTCACAACAGGGATTCCTTGACAAACGAATCGCTCCCTCCATCAGAATGAGAAGTGAAAACAGGAGAGGGGCTGTGTTTCAGGACTCGGATTAGATCAAATTAAACAGGGAGGGAGGATAATACACTTCCATGCACACAAACATGTTTGTTGGCAATGCCCGTGCGGTCACATCTATCAATGTGGAAAAGTGATGTAAATAATAATTTTCGCAATTAAAAAACTCCTCTGCATCTTGGTCCCGTATTCATTTCAAAGAAACGCTACCCTGTACTAAAATGGCGGCTCTGTTGACGCATTCGTTCTAATAGACAACAGCAGAGTAGGCGACATCTAATTTATACATCTATGGTGTGTCCTACCACTGCAAATGTGCTAAAGTCATTTAAGTCTACTCTAAACTTCAGACTTGTTAGCTGTAATATTTCTTGTTGCTAGAGTCTTTGCTGTTTGCTAATTTCAATGACCATGTTTTCCACAAAATAAAGCATTTTTGATGCAGTGGCTTATTATTTTGTAAAACATTAATTCAATACGAATGATATAGTTAGTACAGGTTTTGATTTTGTAATTAAGAATTACCTATAACATTATGTTTGGAAAGATCAGGTGTTTTTAGTTTTGATCTCCACTGTATAATATGCACCAAAGTAAAAATATTTACACTCACTTTTAGGTATGTTGGCCGTGACCCTGCTGCAGCCCCAGCCACAGGAAACAAGTTCACACATCTGGCTGAGCTCAAGAGGTTTTTGGACACTGCATTTAACCTCGAGGCTTTCCAGGACAAGAGTTTTTGATGCTGTTGTGTCAGGTGTGAAAATCAGCCCTTAAGATAGAACAGGTATCACTGCTCTGTTGATTAGATAAGGTCATTTTCATGAGATATCCATGTTGCCAATGTATGTAAGATTACAATTACATTGATAAATAGAACACAAGACAGCAAAGAGAATTGTATGTACTCATTCAGATTTATTTGTAGATTTGCACCAGAAATCCTTTATCTGTCTTTAAGTAATCAGTATTTTTATTTTTTTTTTACAAATTGTCTTCCATAACTGTCACACTTGGCTTCATCCTGAGACATCAGACAGATGGCATCTAGACAAGTAACGTTATTCTCCGTGGTAGTCCTGATATTCTCTGTAGCTTCCACAAAATATGCTTTATTTTAGACTTTAGGGTTTTAGTGACATTTAAGACTTGTGGGAACGAGGACATTCATAACGTCAACATGTCTGTGACAACTTTGAAATGCTAGTATACACACTGGGAAACAATTAAACGTAAGCTACAAAGCAATTAATTACACAACCCATCTGATAAGCACAAACATCTGAAGCAATATCGTTCTGTTTAATCTTAATGCAGTCAAACTGCTTTTCTATAGAAATTTAGCAACATTTGGTAATGCTATATTATATCACTCTGTGGCTGGATGCTCACACATAGTGAAACCTTGATATTCACACTAGCTGAACTAAATAGCGGTAAACTGTACTTTACACATACTGTGTGGTAGGTTATTCATGTGACACTTGGAATAGGGAATTTAATGTAAAAAAATAGATTTGGTTTTAGTATATTATAAACAGGACATTGCTCATGGGAGAAAAAGATCGCTGTGATAGATTGTGATGAACGATAGATGTTTTTCAGCAATAATGCAATAAACTGTGTCACTGACAAACGATGGATGTTTGCGTGGTTATATCATTTGTCATATACCTGTGCACATATACAAGCAGTCTTCTCACAGACAGTGTGCTGCCTTCATATGTACATAGGACCCTACGATAGTACTCATTTCATGGATGCTTTAAAATGCTGTCTAGTTATTTGGCTCACTTTAATTTTAAACATGGTTGAAATAGTACCTTACAACTAGAGGGCACAGTTTAAAGGGAAGCAGTTTGAACAGAAATGTGTAGGAATAGTACATATTGTACACAGCCATACTAGAGTGGCATAAACACATCAAGTCTTTTTCCAAATGCCAGCAATTTTGAGGCCAACTGCACCGTGACATTGTTATCAACACCCCGATATTGATTGACAAGTGCCTATTACTATGTGTCAGTATTGGCAAACAGCATAATGTAATTGTACAGTATAATGCGTAATGTTTTTGTGTGATGCCAAGTATCCCTTATCTTTTGAAGTAGATATGCCCGAACAGAGGGTGGAGAGAACAAGCTCATTTGCATTCAAGGGCAAAAACTTTTTTGTCGCAATTGCGAAATTGTAACTTATTCATATTTTTCTTTTTTACCTAAATTATAAGGTTAACATCTTTTCACAGCATTGTGAATTACCGTATAAGTGATATATCAGTATACAGTATAACTGAATTCATCAGATTTTTTGATACAGCTCTGACTTTTTCGCAAATGTGATAAATATAATAAGAATTTTTTTTTTCTCAGAACGGCGTGAAATAAAATTTGAATTGTGAGAAATACAATCTGAATTGCTTTCTCTGTGACTTTTTTTTCACAGAATCATAAAAAAATTAGTTTACAGTATGAGATCAAAACTGCATGATATAAAATTTCAGATCTCTTGAGAAATAAAATACTAAAACTTATTCTACAATAAAATAATTTATGACTAATTTATCCGAATTGCAAGATATAAACTCTGAATCACAAATTGTGTGAGAATGAAACTCATAATTACAGTTGCTTTTTATTCCTCCAAAACGGTCCTTTATGGTATACAGTGTATACCGTTCAGTATTCGGCAATAGAAGTCTATGCTATTGCTAACTTTAATTTGAAACGGGTACGGTGTTCAGTACGCCTCCCTCACCGCGTCAATGGCCTCCTGGCACAGCGGATCAAGGCGTCCATCACCCCCTATGAACAAATGAGTTTGACATCATCACATCTCTTATCACCCAGAAATGCAGAGGTTTCCGAATGCTGACGCAATTTACCAAATACAAGGTCAGTGATGTTGCATGTATACACGCGCTCTCCATTCACAATGAGCTCAACTGTATTCCAGTCATCTGTTTTCTCGAGGACATACCGGTGACCGTCGCCTTTGAGCACCGCTGAAGTGAAGGGGAAAGGCAAAATACACTTAGTTTCTGTCAGAGTCCAGTTATTGTGATTAAAAACTAACTTTTTGGGGGAAAATGTAACAAAGCTTTCGACAAGATTACCTTGTAAGCCGTCCAGGCGAAACGTTCTGTGATCGACAATTCCACACGAATCGTATGGACCGTACCTTATTGTTACTATTGAATTAGTTGGCATAATTATAAATAACAGACTATTACAAATCCCTCCGAATGTCACAATACAAGGCTGTCAACACTGCATTTTTGTGTACACCACTCTCCATAGTAACCAATGGGAGGATTGAAACATGTAAACAGGAAGCTGGAAATAGTGCATCAGGCAAGTATGTTTTTATATTTAGCAATGCTTAAATTCCCTGTTTAAGTGTTACTTTAAATCACATTGTTACTTCAGTAAAATTCGTATAATCTTAATATTCAAATTTAAAAAAAAATAATAAATAAAATAAAATAAATAATAATAATAATCAGATTATATTTAAAAATAGTTTCAGGTTTATCACAATTAAACACAATAAAACAGAAAAAGCTGTACAGTAGCTGGCTGTGAATAATAATATTTGATATTATGTCAAATCTTAATGCACTCAACACTCCCCATTAAAGTTGGAATAAATTGTTGTAATGTTAAATGTAGAGTAAGGATAAAGAATATTTTTCTAATCTGTGTTGTGATGATAAAATGAATAAATAAAGCTGTATTTATAGATGCTTGTTTGAAAAACTCAGTCCACACAAAGTCATTTTAAATTAGTACTTTTATGGCATTAATAGAGTACATTTATATTGATAAATAGATTTATTTCTTTAAACTATAACTTAGAAAAATAAAGATCTTAAAGGACATCACAGTTTAAGCACTCCACCACCAGTTTAACAAAATACATTCTGTTACATCTTCACTTTCACATGGATTTGCTCTTTCATCTCTTTTGTATGTATTCATGCTCAACATGATGTCATGATGTACAATTGACTTCTTACTAACACTTAAGCTAAGGCTGTTTTTTTCTTCCAATTTAAACAACTAAGTGGTTTGTTAGTCTGTTTCATCTAAGCTATTTTAGTTATAGCATCTGGTTTACTCATAAAGTGCTTAAATACATTTATCAAGTAGCTATCGCTGAACAATTTAGAATAACAATCACAATTGAACATACTGTATGATTTACAAATAATACACACACAAACAAAACTGTTCAGCTGCATAATTTTACATTATAAAAACAAGCTCACTCATTCTTCATTTCTATACATTAGACAGACATCAAGTATTGTTTTTCTACTGTGCAACACGTGTCTATGATATTTTCAGACTTGATATAATCACACTGTCACATATACAAAAAAAGCTAGTCAGTTTTTCACTGTACATTAATTAAACTGTTCACCTTAGCCTCAAAAGTTCTGCTATTGCACTGGAAGTCAACAATCCCTGTTGAAATTATTGCATTAGACAAGCCCACAGACTGGAACCACATAACACTGTTCATGCAACATGCTGATTCGCATTAGGTTATGTTCTTTAAACATTTATGCAGACTGTGTATTTTAAAATATGGCCCATTGAAAAAGTATTTTATAGAACACTTAAAACAATGCATATTTTAAAGCTGAAATACCATACTGTATGTTATTATATCTAGGCCAAAACCCAAAATAGACTTTCACACATATATATATATATATATTTTTTTTTTTTTTTTAAACAGACACATCTTTGATTAATAAAAGAACAACAAACAATAATAAAGTTAAATAGCAGCTTCTGGTCCAGTTCCACAGGTTCATCATTCATATCTATACAGACATCCATAACAACTCTGATATAACTAATAAAAAAAACTTTTAGATTGTAAAGAGCTTTAGCTATATACAGTGCCATTTTGTTTCTATGCATACTTAACAAGTACACCTGCAGTATCTCAAAGGCAGCAGTAATGTCCTTTTTCCCCCTAAGCTCAAGCAGCTACTTTAATTTCCCAGTCTGCTTTCTGGTGACAAGTACAAAGTCATCCTTTAGTTATGTTTTGAACAAGTCAAACATTCTTCAAAATAGTCTTTTGTTTTCCAGAGAAGAAAGTAACTCCTACTGTAAGGCCACGCACGAACAAAATTCAACTTGAGTTGTCTCTTAAACTTCTGGTCTTGTTTTATATACACCACAGTACTTTTCAGGAGTGACAACTGTGTTGAACAGCCAAATTTCCTTTTAAAACTGCTGGTAGACAGTCACATTTAAAAACATCATAAGCCATTTGTACATAACCAAAGAAAACAACAAGTTAATAAGATACTTAAAACATATTATGTAGTTATCTGTCTCTTATGTGCGCTGCAGAAATCTCAGGGAAAGGTATTGGCAGATTTGGGTAGCCAGAACTTGCTAGATAAAAGCAAATAAGAGCAAGTCTTTAGTGATTGTAAAAACAACAGAAAAAAGAAAGTCCTACAGGTTTGGAACCACTTGAGGGTGAGAAAATAGTACTTTTTTCTTTCTTTCTTTCTTTTTTTTTGACTAAGCTACTCTTTAATAACTCTGGCTCATAATCGGAAGACATGGCAACACTTCAACAGTGAATCTTGTAAAAATCTGTGATATTACTTTGGTCAGAAGTAACAGATATATCAAAACACAAGATACCAGAATATTGCTATGGTTAGCATGTCAATTGGCAATCAAGAATTTTTAGTGAGTCATGTTCGTTCTCATGTTGTAATGCAGTTGTGACTCCTGAAGCTTTACAGTGTGCACATGGCCATACAAATTTGAGGAAGGCTACTATGAATCTGAGCTTCATCTGCTCCTTTTAAATCCCCATACTTTCTTTTTGGCTAAAATAATCCCAAATAATTCCAGTTTTTAGATCAACTCTCTACCACTGTAAAGTGACTACAAATTCATAGAATCTCTGTGCAACAACTGTTCATCATTATATTTGGCAATTTTTTTAAAGACTCAAGGGAAATGCCTACTTTAACTATGTTGCGCAAGCATTAAATAAATCAGCCTTTCTATATATTTGAGGCTAGAATTTTCTCACAAAATTAGCTCTTTTTAGAATCACACTAATTCCTGCGTCTTATGACTTGCTTCCATTCTTCATTACCTTAGGGTTTCCCTCCATCCTTTGTGTGGAGTCAGCTGGTTTAACTTCAGTGTTGCATTTTCTGCACAGATCTTGCATTTCCTTCAGGCACCCCTCAAGAGTCTTCACAAACAAATCTGAGCTGGTCTCCGCACATTCACGGAAGCTGGACACGCAGAAGAGGATGTGGTCCGTCTGAGGATTGTAGCAGGCTCCGTAGCCATTTGGGACGACTGGACCATAGCAGCAGAACATCTCCTCAGTGGTAGGAACCTAGTGGGTTTTTTGAAGAGTAAAGACTGGTGATGTAGTGCTAACATTTTACTAAAATAATTAAAGTGCCCCGTTATGCTTTTTCATTTGATGTACTGTAGTTGTAAGTCTGCAAAGTTTTAAAGATCAAAGTGGAGGATATAGAAAAATAAACGGATGTCTGAAATTAGTCTATATTAATTCCATTCTTCATGCACAAACCTCTATCAGATCTTTTTAACTTTGACACTGTAGTTGTAGCTGAGACATGGAAAAGATTGGTTCATGTTGTCGCCATGTATGTGACCACGGTTTCAGGCTTAGATTTCACCAAGGAGCCCTGACCATCTTAATTATACCTTACAACTGATGTTATGTTGTGATGCTCATGTCATGCTTGAGAAGATGGTTTGGATCAGTTCATTCTTTCAGTATCATCTATCACTATTAGACTCATCAGTGCCAATTTCCTTTCCTGCAGATGAATGCTTGGCAGTTACAAAAACATTACAAAAATTCAAAAAAATTGTGAAAAACATTTTTTTGCTTATAAGAAAGATTTAGGTACATAATATGTACATTAAGCTTTAAATTCCAATTGGCTGGAAACATATGCACTGGTATTCTTAGAGGCCATTCACAACACAAAACATGTCTTTGATTGTAAATATTTAAGACGGTCTTTTTTAAATAGGACCTATAATGCAAAAATCTTTTTATAAGAGATTTAATCACAGTTGTGTGGCAACAGTGTATGACTATAGTTAGCCTCTAATGGTAAAAATTAATTATTTATCACACTTAATAAAAACAGTCTAAGGCGATCTCTCCCTCAACAGCGTAAACAGCCCTGAGTGAGAAGCAGCTGCCTGCCTTTAGAGATTGTAGTTTTGTGCACAAATGAACACTGTAGTCTCCATAGAGTACCTTCTTCTGAGCCACTTAATTTTTATATTTTCAGTTTTTCACAGAGATAAAGTTAGTCCTGTTTGAATCTGCTGATATGCTGATGGATGAGCATTTGTAACTTCAAAATGCCTCTTTTGAAAAGCGGGCTGGGAGCACAATTTCATTGTGTCAATCTCTGTGTGTTCACTATGGTTAAATGAATGAATACTAGAAACTCATAGACCGCTAAATATTTTAGAGGGAATGTGGAGACAACATAAAAAGAAAATGTATGTATATATATATATATATATATATTACTCATTTATGAATAGAAATGTTTTTTAATATAGACTTTTTCTGATGCAAAAAATAAAGAAAAAAAAAACAGCTATTTCTCATCTCGCGCACATAAACCTGCTAGGACCACACTAATACATCACATCCGTTCGGCCAGTCGCATTCAGTCTAGTTGTAGGAGGTCAAACATTTCAATGGATCCGCAACTAAATTCGGATCCGAATTTTCTGCATACGGAAATGATCAGAACTCCAGCTCCCGGACTACTACTGTCATTTGTCGTGTGCAGTGAAAAGGAGGCTTAAGTAATAAATGAATATAAAATATTTAGACAGCCTCAAAGCTGAATATGGGCTTTTTTTATTCATTCTTAGTGAGTAAATGAAAACTTGAAACGTTTTAACATTCTTATAACTTATTTACTGCGTTGATTAATCTGTTAGGCTTACAAAAAATAAACAATACCATCATGTAAAGCAGGGGTGCTCAACCCTGTTCCTGGAGATTGACCTTCCTAGAGAGTTTAGCTCAAACCCTGATCAAACACACCTAAATCAATTAATGAGGACCTGAACAGCACTTGATAATTAAAGGCAGGTGCGTTTAATATAGGTTGCAACTGAAATCTGCAGGAAGGTCAATCTCCAGGAACAGGGTTGGTCACCCCTGATATAGAGTAATAGTGCATATCTGCCATTTTTCTGTTGGTCAATTTATGACGCTAATTTGACTTATTGGAGCATTGTTTACAAGTGCTGCGAAAGCCTCCAAAGCTGTAGCTTTCATTTTGACATCTGTTTTAAACTGTAGACTAATCAAGTCATCTGATTAGAGCATTTTAGCTCCCAGGTAAGGGCAAGGTTTGAAGAAACTGAATCCTTGAACAAACCCTTTCAGCTGCGATAAAAAAGAGGTGACTCTGCAATGTGTACTCTGAGAAAATTAAAGTATGTTTTGACTTTGAACTTGAACAGCGTAATGGGGCACTTTAAAAAGAAAAATGCATGCACACTATCAATATCAAATCCACTTATGTTCTATGATTTAATTTGTCAACCTGGCTTGTAGAGAGAGTGAAGTGGATGCTGGTTGCGTAGGTCGTATCTGAAAACAGCTCTGGCTTTTCCAGTTTCAGCTCCTTGGCAATCTCTCGCAGCCCCAACAAGTGATTGTCTATTGCCATTCCTGTGATTGCCTGTTTGCAAAGAGTGGAAAAGCAATGTTTTATTGTAGAACAGGCAATATGACAATCGCAGACTCCTTCTTGACTGTAAATGACAGATTGTGTAATTGTAGTTCAAATTCAGCTGTCTGTTTCACTTACTAGAATTGTGTAATTAGTTTGGGCTTTTATGGCAGTCCAGAGCAACTCCATTTTCTCAGCATCCTAAATAAATCAAGTAAGACAAGGGTTATTGTTCTTTTCCAAGCTGTTCTGACATTGGCTGGGCAGTTTGAATGGTGTTACACACTAAAAGACATACAGTGATTTTGGAGCCACTGGCCATAGCTTTGACAAATGCTAAGGCTTCAGGGGTGGAGGAGCGAATGTTGTCGACTCGTCCCTCTTGAAAGCGGCGTATTGATGCACTTTCATAGGTGGGCACTAGACGTCCATGACATCTGTACTCAAAAAGAAAAAAAAAACAAGATTAAACTTATGGTAAACCTCAGTATGCTGCACTAATACATTATAAACACTGACCTGTAAAATGTAAACTGGAGCGCAACTTGGACATAAGCATCAGGGCTCATTTTCTGTCTCTTGATGAACTCTTTGCCATAACCAGTGAATTTGTGGACATTCATGTCCAGGTTTTTTACAAGTCTGTGGAATATAACAGTTGATATATTTTAAAAAGTTCAACAGTTTGGCTTTTCTTTTATTTATTATATCAGCATTTATAGTAAACTTATTTTTCAAGATTTAAATAGGGATATTGTGAAATGTTATTAAAGTTTACCTTAAAAATTATACTTTATATTGCAATCTATTTCGATGAATACAAAGCAGAGTTTCAACATCATTACTTTCAGTGTCACCATTAGAAATTATTCCAATGAAGATTTGGTGTTCAAGTAACATTTCTTTGTTAATTTTTATGTCAATTCAAAAGTAAAGGATCTTTATAAAATATAAATATTTTGGTTGCCTATAGGTTGGCATTCATGGGTGTTTTCCATTTATTTACAGCTGGTAAAATAAGTATTGAACACCATGTTTTTCCTGGGAATAATATTTTTAAAAGAGCTGTAGACTTGTAATTGAACCTGATTTTGGTAAAAACCCAAACAATACAAACATAAAAAAACTATGTTGAGTTTAAAATGTGCTATGAGCTATTGGTAATAACAATGAAATGAGGCAAGGAGAAAGTACTGAACTACTGAAATTGAATACTTTATATAAAAGGCGTTTTTGGTGATGGCAGCTTAAAGACTCTCTCATACTGTGTGGAGAATGAAGTCACATGAATTGCCCAGGTGTGAGTTTATCACAGACTTCAACAGAGTGTAATAATCTTGATGCTTCTGTGGGTCACGTCTATCAAATCTGATCTTTATTTTGTATTTTCAAATGGATTTAAGTCAGGTGATTGGCAGGACCATTCTAAAGCTTGATTTTCTTTCTCTGAAAGCATTTGAGAGTTGTTTCTTGTTTTGGATCATTGTCATGCTAAAATGTCCACCCTGGTTTCATCTTCATCATCCTGACAATGTAGATGTTGGAATGAAGCAGCTAATATTAATTCACAATGAGGAAGGGCAGATGTTTGCTGAATAAGTTCTGCGAGATTTCAGCTGCTGTCTTGGCCTTCACTGCCTTTCTACACCTCCCTTTCTTCATGTGTTCAGTACTTTTTTCCTGCATCATTTCATTTTATTATGCAATACCTAATTTGTAAACTAATTCGATTTGTTTTCTTTGCAAATATTGATTTCTTTGGTTGTTACCAACAACCAGGGAAAATTTCAAGTCAACAGACCCTTTAGATCACAGGTGTCAAAAAGGTGTCAACCTTTTGGTTGTTCCAAAAGGGCAGCAGCTCTGCACATTTTAGTTCCGACCCTAATTAAATACACCTAATCAAACTAATTGAGTCCTTCAGGCTTGATGGAAATCTACAGGTAAGTGTGTTGGAGCAGGGTTGGAACTAAACTGTGCAGGGCTTCGGCCCTCCAGGAATTGACACCCCTGCTTTAGATGGTGATATGTTCATTACTTATTTTCCCAGCTGTATGTTTTCAGATTGCATTATGAGAGTTTGATTTCTGCCCCGACTACTTTAATTGTCGAAAAGTATCACAATGACATGTTGAGGAATGTCAGATGTTCAAAACACTTAAAAATCATACTCTTATCTCCACCATAACAGAAAAAAAGAATTGGCAGCTCACTATCTTGTTTATGTAGCGAAGTTCACATGACCCACCCAGACAAAACATTGCATCAAAATACTATGTCACTTTGTTTAACAACAGAGTTAAAATTCCAGCATTTAAAGTGGTCAAAGCAGAGATCAATAGAGAACAGAAAACACCAGTGTATCATGAAGACAGCAATTAATACAGATATAGTTTTCAGTGTACAGAATTCTGCTACCTGTCTCTTGTGTTGACTCACTTCTGTAATCTGTCTGCTGAGGCTGAGAGGAAGGTTTGGATGTCTGGAGAGCATTTCCAGCGCAGTCGTCTGGGGGCTGGAAGTTCACTCATGCTGGCTGCTCTCACCAGCTTAGAAGGGCTTCCTCTCCTGAGAGAGAAACAGCCTTACAGTTCATCACAATACATCTTTACTGGGTTTTTTTTCAGTCTGTGTGGCTATGTTTTGAGAAGATTTTTGATGTTATCAGATTTTCTTGTTGTAATAATTGCTGAAGCTTTTAAAAGAGTTACTTTAATAGGTAAAATATCAATTAGGACTGTGCAGTTTTGTGTATTGCTTGCATGTTAACAAGCAGAGCACCAGCTGCCAGCTTCCAGCAGTCTTCAAAATATCTTCTATGTGTTCAACAGAAGAAAGAAACTGTCGATACAATATACTTAAAATTATTAAATTCTAAGAAGTTAAATAATATATAAACATTCCCTTGATAACAATACCATACATAATATTGTATTATTGAATGTCAGCACATATCTAATCTCAAGCCTTCTCATTAGAGCTCCCTTCTGCCTCTTTGGCAAAAACAGAAATAATGTGTTAGTATGAAAAAACAACACAATATTACAGATTCTTTCAGAAGTTAGGGTTATTTTCCAGACCAACCATGCATTCTGGGTTACTTTGAAAGTGTTTTTCATAAATAAAATAGCAATTTGGCTTACATGTATCTCAGTAGATACTCCGAACACTGCACAAGCACTATTCCCTCAAAAGGAGAGTGTTCACAGACGACGCCACAGCATCCATCAGCACCTATTACAAACTGAAATCATGGTAACACTTTATATTACAGGACTGTTTCTCATATTATGCACTTATAGTCATTACATAAACTTGGCAAATCTAGGTACCATTCACTACCTTTGAAACTAACTAACCTTAGCTAACGTATTTACCTTAAATAACTAATTTCTTAGGTAAATACATTGACTGCAATGTTTAAAAAAAGAGGCCACCTTAAGTTGAATCAACTTAAGATTTCCCTTAACATTAAGATGCATTAACTGCTTTGTTAAAAAATGCAATGTATATCTTGTGTACATATTGTATTGCAAATGGTTTGGTGCATAGGCTCAAAAGTGGGTTAAACTATAATGGATGGGTTAATGGATGGTGTAACTATAAATGTATGACAGTTAGGTGTGTTTGTTCAAATATAGTGTAAGTAAATCATTAAAATGTAAGTACACAGTAGTCAAGACCACTTATTATAACATCATGTGTGACCATAAATTTAACATAGTATACTATATTATTAGTTTATTGTTTGATCATGCTGCCTTATAGCTTTTGTAAAGAGCTGTACTTATGTGTGTATATTATACATGCAGCCCAAGACCTCACTGTAGCTAAGCAGGGCTGAGCCTGGTCAGTGTCTGGATGGGAGATCACATGGGGAAAAACTAGGTTGTTGTTGGAAGTGGTGTTAGTAAGGCCAGTAGGGGGCCTTCAACCTGTGGACTGTGTGAGTCCTAACGCCCCAGTATAGTGAAGGAAACACTATACTATCAGGGAGCGATGTCTTTTTAATGAGATGTTAAACCAAGGTCCTGACTCTCTGTGGTCTTTAAAAATCCCATGGCACTTCTCTTAAAGAGTAGGGGTGTAATCCCAGTGTCGTTGCCAAATTCCCTTCACCTGCCCATACCGATCATGCCCTCCTAGTCATCCCCATCCACTGAATTCGCTTTATCACTATCCACCAATAGCTGGTGTGTGGTGAGCGCACTGCAGCCGTTGTCCTGTGGCTGCCGTCGCATCATCCAAGTGAATGCTGCACACTGATGGTGGTGTGTTCCCCCCCCCTCATGATTGTAAAGCGCTTTGGGTCATACAGGATAAATGGGATTACATTACATTACATGTATGTATTTATATATGTATTCTTTGTTTGTTTGTTTTTTTTTTTAAACAAGCCTCACTTGGTCAGATGTTGAAAAGTAGCATTTAAACTAAAATATATGGTTTGTCCAATGTAATTGTAAGTCCATGTCATAAATAAATTAAATTAAACTGACTTAAAACAGCTCATATGACAGATAAAATAACTGATAACTCAGATTCTTTTCTACAGTGTGTAACTACATGTTATTGTACAAAAAATTAACATTATCATAATTGAATTTTACAATTGATCTAATCACATGATCAATGGAATATAAATTCATTTGTGGCTTTTTGTACCTGCATGGGTTTGTCGTACCATCGGTTGCCCCCGTTTTTGTCCGTTCCTCCTCCATGAAGCATTAGCAAAGCTCTGTTGCTGTCATTCAGTTCAGTGGCAGTTTCCTCATCCAAACACACCAGACACAAACAGCGCTCAATCATGTCCAGAGAGTCCCTGTTGGTAGAATCTGCACCCCATCGAGAAGCATTACATTTTGTGGATGTCAGTTCCATTAACCTGTAAAGAACTTCTGCTTTTATCAGGGGGATTTTGAGTTGTTTTTTCAGAGAAACTCGTGTTGTTTTGTTTCTTAGTATTTGGTTGTTAAATTGCAGGTCTGGGCAGAGAAATAAGTTGTGTGAGTTGAGGAATAAATGATGTCTGACCTTTGATCAGTATGTTGCGAGCCTCGGCCCACTGTGTTCTGCCATCTGATGTGAGCAGGCCGATTGGAGGCTGACGCTCCTCTTCGATGTCTGCCATCTTTCTGATTCGCTCCAGCTGAGTGTAAAGGTCTTTTTCATTCAGCCGGCGAAAGTTTACCATCACGTCTAGAACAAAAAACTGCAAACAGATACAGGATTTAAGACAGAAAACAGCACCAAATCTGTGTCTTTACTGAGCATAACAGACTAGTATCAAACAATAAAAATGGGATATTTATGTTTCAATATATTCAATTTTTTTTCCTGACCAAAAAACGACTATCATGCATTTTTACTGTATTTTACAGTATAAATGTCATTATAGTGTAGCACATTTTATATATAAAAAATATTAGCCAAATTATTTGATGATTTTTAAAAAAAAATATTAAAAAGATCACTGTGCAGCCTCAAAATACAAATCAGTTGCCGTTTTATTTTATTATTTAATATGTTGCTACTTTTCCACAAACCACAAAGTTTTACCCATTTGTCAGCAGAGTTTTAATAAGATTGGAATATTTATGTAAAGATATATATACAAACATTGCTCTGAGACATTACAACTTGCATTAAATATCCTTTCTATGTAAATAGGATCACTTTTGTAAATGTACAGTAACTTGAAGCAGACACCAAAATGGGTCGTGTCATTTTTGACTCAGCAATATAAAACCAAAACAATGTATAGGTTTTCAGTTCAAATGAAGTAATATTTACCTGATTCTTACATGCCACTATTATATGTTCGGGTTCAGGCATAACTGTGCTCTTCTGAGCCACTAAAGTGTCTGTTTTTGTTCCTGGCAGCCTGTAGGACGTGAAGACCTTGTTGTACTGATCCATACACAGGGGCGTCCCGGCCAACTGCCCACGAGCATGCTCTACAGGGAGAGCACGTCTGCAGGAAAACATCCGTTTTTACTATAATAGAACTTGATATGAACATAAAATATAACATAAAGTATTACCTTACCCATCAATTAGAGCTTTATACTCTAATACACCAGAAATGAGATTAGCAGCAAATCTGTTGAAAAAAATGAAAACATGTTCAAGAGTTAAAAAAGATCTACTGTTTTTATTTATTTTAGATGAATTCTCTTATAATCACCAAAATCAAATTGTGACATTAATATAGTTTTTAAATCACAGTTTTAATTTGATATGCACTAAAATGTAATTTATTCTTGTGATGGCAACACTGCCTTTTCAGCATCAGTACTCCAGTCTTCAGTGACACCCAATCCTTCAGAAATGATTCTCAATATTATAGTTTGTTTTACAAGAAACATTTTTATTAATATTTTAAGAACCCCTTTTACCATCAGTGTTAAAAACAGCTTGATATTTTCAGGAAACCTTGATGAATAGTGTTTTAAAAAACATTTATTTGGAAATCCTTTTTAAATCTTAAATGCTGTCATTTTCGATCAATTGGATGCATCTTTATGGAATATAATTAAGTTACAATGAAATATTGCACATTCACATTTACTGTAGGAACGCAATTCCTTTGTTTTAATTAGCACAACTAATCAAGGACTAATACCAACGTCTCTAAAGAGACTAAATCAAAACTGACTTACTCTGACCACTTGTAATGTTAAAGTTTAAAATAATTACTTTTATTAATATTTTTTGTTGTTCAAAATCATTTTTTGCCTGGGTTGGTCTTGTATTTATGATCCAAAAACTGGATAATGAGCAGCTAGTGTTTTATTTATATATATAATAAATAAATATTATACACAATTCACTTTGTTAAAGTGTTTAGTAAAATTTTCATCAATAAATGTTGATGGAGCCAATACCAAGGTCCCATAATTAAATTCAAAGCACAAACAGAGAATGAATAAAAAACACCCATAAATCATAAGCTACAGGCAATTACAAATGAACGGATATATTTTTGCAGCGTGGGAGGACTCTTTGTTCATATGTTTCCTAATCTCTAGATTAAACTGCTGATGGAGAAATCTATTTTTAGTTAATGACCTACTCAACTGCACTGTCATATGGACAAAATCATGTGATTTACAGACCATACAGTTTGGCTCAGCCCCAGCGCATTCACTGCACTGTATCATTAATTAATCTTCGTCGATATCTGCATTTTAATAAATTGCTATCAGTGAACCTGTGAGCTTTGAGTAAATATTGCCCTTGCTGTTTCTCTAGACTCTCATACCTGAGGACATCACTTTGACCCTTGAAGTTCTGCTTGTGAAAGACCATAACAGGACTGGAGTTGACAGGTAGTGCTAACCTGTTGTTCAAATACATGTCTTCAAGCCAATAATCATACACCTAACACAATGATCAGAAACAGGAGTTTGAACACTTTTATGCAACATTAAACCGATAGTTTCAGCCCTTTTTGTAGCTAGAGTACTTACCCAATTGGCCTTTTGTTCACTTCTCTCCAGTAACTTTTTCTGAAGGGTTTCCCCCACTCCACCAGGTGCTCCAAATTTCTCTACAACGGCCTTGGTCTTTCTGAACTGGTCCTCTGGGACGAGGTGACCCATGCATGTCAGGTACATGTCCAGTGTTTGCTTCAAGGGGGGAATGGGGAGCTTCGGGAGAGCCTAAATCCACATTAACATCAGATATTTATTAAAAATCTTTCACTCATTATCGCTTAAAGTGATAGTTCACCCCAAAAATTTAATTGCACTCACTATTTACTCAACCTCAAGTGGTTCTAAACTGTTCAAAGTTTTTTTTCCTTCGTTCAATATGAAATTAGACATTATGAAGAAAGCTCAAAACTGTTAACATTGACCCATGATAGAAAAAAAATATATATAAGGATGACAGCTTTTTAGCATTCTTCAAAATATCTTCTTTTGTGTTCAACAGATGGATGAAAAAAAGGCAAATTATTCTAAAACAAGTAAAAGGAGATAAATGATAAACAATTTCATTAAAAGGCATTTATGTTATGGGTCTTGTAGTGTTTAACCAAATGGTAATGAGTCTCTTTTCTAATTAATCTTGATAGGGTCTTTATAATTTTTTATGCTCCAATTTATTTACTTATACTTGTGTGTATACGTGCTATAGTTATGCATTGATGTAAGCATGAAAAAACAAGCCCCCCTTGGACAGATGTTGAAAATTAGCAAGTGTGCTATAACGCTACAACAAATGCAAATGCATTGTCCAGTTTGCCCATCTTGTTATCCATGTCATGAATAAATAAATCAATTAAACTAAACTGACTTAAAACAGATCATATGGTAAAAAAAAATAAAAATAACTGATTTGACAAATAAAGTCACTGATAATTATAAAAACATATGTTGTTATAACTAATCAGTCAGATTTTTTTGCAGTGTAACTGCATGTTACTGTAAAAAATTCATTATCATAATTTGATTTATAATTAATTAATAATGTTCATTTTAGGGTGAACTATCCCTTTAACAAGCACGTCTTAATTAATCATATGATAATGAGTCACTTGCCTAATTAGCTTTGGTTTTGATAATTTTATATGCTTCAATTTATCCCAAGTGTTATGTTTAAAGATTTTTCCCCCCTGTTTTTCCTGTACAACAACAGAATTTCGGTGATAATTTCACAGATAAAACATGATCAACATGTGGACTTATATGACAACTTGTAATAATGTAGGTAAACAGTAATGTTAGAAACGCAATAAATTTTAGTCACATTTTACATGCAAAATGGGTTTTGCTTACACATGGATCTCCCGTGTCCTTTGATTGTTCCCTTTTTGAAACTGGCATCCTCAAAGTTGAAGAGTTCAGTCAAGAAAGATGAAAACTCACTAACAGTTTTTCCCAGTTCCCTCTGAAGCAGAAAGACAGGTATGAGAGAGGAAGAGTCCACTGGAAATAGATTTAATCAATTTCGTTTTAGAAATATAATTATTCTTATAATAAACAGTGCTATTTTGATTTCTTCATCAACCACAGACAAGGAGCAAGCTTAAAAAATAAATGTTGAGTTTTTTAAATGAATATAAATTTTTGATATAATTAATTCTTGTATTTAAATAAAAAAAAAGTCTTTTAAACTCCTCACTCAAAAATGAAGCTCTAGGCATATAGGTAATAATAAACACTTTTCACGTTAAATTCTTTAAAGTATATTGTTAAAAAGTACTCACCAAAATGTCATACCCTCTGTCGAGTCAACAGATGTCTCAAAGGGTTTATCCAGATTCATAATCCCGACGTGCCGTTAATAATTTCTGCTAACTTGTTTCAGGCGGCATACTTGCGTCCCATTCATTGAGCTCAGGAGCTTCGGATGCTCCTCAGGAAAGATGCTGAAGGATGCTGAAGAAGCGCTACCTTTCCCAGACTCCTCCCTCTAAACTCTATTCGCTCGAATCCGCATCTGCCAGCCCACCTCATACTCACTTTAACTTGAGTCCTTGAGCAAAATTTATGAGCACACTTTTACATCTCCAAGAAGAAGAAGAAGAAATGTCCGTAAAGAAGCGCGCTCGATAATTTAATTAAAACGAAACGCGGAATGGTTTATTATAGACCATACTGAATAATAAACAACTGGTTCCTTTTCTTTTAAATAAATATATTCGATTTGCAGCTGTTTGGCATAAATAGTTATTTTTGTTAATTGTTTTATATTCGTGATCCTTTCTGTGGAGTTGAATATACATTTACTATATAAATTACGCAACAAGGATGTTGTGTTTTTTTCATATAAATGCACAAGCATGAAGAGCTATATTTATAATAAAGTTTTTTTTTTTACTAATATGTAATAATTTAGTTTTTTTTTTCATTTGCTGCGCGTTATTGCTTTTCATTAAATGAATGCGATATTGTATCTTATATTTATTTACGGTCAATATTCGTTTCTGTCTTAACTGTCAATAATTAATCATAGTGAGTATGTGAGATAATGTAAATTAAATTATTTTTTTATTATTGTAAATAGGTGAATGTGTATGTTTTTGGGAAAAAAGTCACATTGCGCACAAGGCATCTCACAGTTTTCTTTAATTATGTACATTTGATATGCACATATGTACACCATTATAATTCGTAATATACAGCAATGCATTCCAGAAACACACCCTAAACATTTAATACTCGAAACAGACACTGAGAAGGCAGGATTCACACCAGTTCCATCTTTTTTTTCCTATGAAGGTGTCAGGTGACATTTTGCATATTAGTTGTAACAGCACAAAATCGGCGGAATAACTTGAACGAAGGCCCATTTAATACGTACACACGCATCTTCATATTTAATATGTTTGCACCATATTTATATCCCTGAATACAACTTAATACAGCGGAATACTATACAATTAAATAAATATTTTGCATTTTTTTTGTATTGGAGGAAAAAAAATATTGATCTCATCATTTGAGTAAATTGAATAAATCATTGTATGATTGTAAGCCGTTCACCAGCAGGTTTTTCCTCGGGAGAATGAGTAACATGTAAATGAGTGAATGAAAAACATTTATATTCAGCAGAGGTTTTCTTTTAAACAGGATTGTATCAGGGACAGACAACTCAGACTATATGTATTCTGGCTCGGACGTCTCTTCTTCAGAGAATGACTTTGATTGTCCAGCAAATGTCCCGTTCTCGTCGATCGGCACGCAGTTACCGGACGAACTGTAGCCGTGCTTCTTTCTTTGGCGTTCTTCCATTCTAATCGTGTCGTACAGACCTGTGGCTCCCTCCTCCAGTAGCATGTTTCTCTCGGAATGGGATGGTTTCATTAAGCTCACGTTGCGCAGCAGTAGCAGGGCTGGTGCGTAAAGTACGTTCGCCAGACCCATGCCCAGATTGAGCTGCACAAAACCGAGGTCGTGCACTATTTTACCGGCCACGATCGGGCCCAGCGCGTAGGCAACACAGTAGGAGATGTCTGCAATAGCGTATACACTACCATACACAGACACGTGGCGGACGTCTACTAGAAAAGCGAGTGTGGGTAATAAAGCTGTGTCTACCAGTGCAATGCCGAAGCAAACGCCACACAGGGGGATTATCAGCTGCTCAAAGTTTTTGCAAGCCGGCACAATGCACGAGCTGGCACCAATGATGACCATGCCAAGTGCACCATAAAACCACTGCAAGTGTGGATACTTTGCTGCCAGCTTGACAGTGAGATAAACGCCTAATATGTGAGGGAAGAAGGCTGGCAGCCAGGTGATCCCGATCTGCCATTGGGATGCATTCATGGTCTCTTCCATCCAGTTTGCGATGGTGGGCTCCAGAAAAGCAAGGGGAATGTTACATGTGGTCAAAGCTCCTGCCACGACCGCTATGTACGGGTCGATCATTAGTTTGTAAATTGGGGTGCCGACCGGCATGTTCTCTCTAGTCCTACTGGAAAAGGGCTTGAGCACAGTCAGGCATAGTATACCGTCTGCCAAACACACACATGCGAGCGCAATGAACGGGAAGCGTTTGCCCGCGAACTCATACAGTACCCCTCCAAACGGGGGAGCCGCCAGGCTTCCGAAGGAGATGAAGGCGAGGGCAATGCCCAGCGCGCGACTCCTCTCCGACTCCTCCGCGTACTTGTCCGCGATCATGGCAATTCCTGAAGTGTCTGCGAACGCCGAGCCGAGCCCTTGCAGACTGCGCGCCATGAACAGGGTCGCGTAGTTCTCGGCGAAGGCAAAAATGCACGTTGAGACGAACATGATACTGAGTCCAATTAAAAGTGGGATGTCGTAGCCGACTCGGTCTATGAAAGTTCCAGTCAAAGGATTGACAAGGAGCTGCAAAATGGCTTTTGAAGCGAAAAGCACGCCGATCTGCAGGTCAAAGTTCTCGTTTTGCGTGATGTTAATTGAGGAATTACCTTTTACATGCGCCTGCTCCGATTCGCTCTCTAAGTGCGCTAAGTAGTCGGGCACAATTGGCACGATGACCATGTAAAGCATATTGTCTAGCAGAAGTGCCACGCACACAATGACTAGAATAATCCTTCTTTGTCGCTCGGGGTCCTGGATCGCATTTCCTAACTGTTTAGTTCTTTCCCCCATCTCCGAAAGTTTAACGGCGGCGGTTTGCGCCAAGCCACCTGATTCCTCCGTAGCCATGATCCACACACTTTGGTCGCTTCAGGAAAAATGCTCTTAACTCGCTTCTACGCTGTGCTTCTCTCCCCGAGAAAGTCTGCGCGCACCGGGTTGCCCAGCACTCACTGAATAGTGAAGCCTCGGCGCGCAGAGCAACTTTTCCTGCTTTACCTTGCAGTCCTTCTTTGCGCGTGCATTTCCTCTCTCGCGACTGCTGCCACGCAGTGTTGTTTCATCGTATTCGGGTCAAAAACTCACAGTCAGGTCAAAAAATAGCCTTCTCGCTTTCCCTCCTTCTTCACGCTGTCATTGTGGCTGGACGCGCGGAGCCTGAATGAGCGTCAATGGATGAATTCACCTGTAGCGCAGTGTCATCATTTCCCCTCAGCCGTCTTCTTATTGATGCCACCCAATGCAGATGCGCTTACATGTTGATTCCATTGGAATCACTCCTCTCTTTTTTCCCAAGGATGTGATGCACTGTTTGCTGGCCCCTCAAGTGGTTCCCCCAACCAGCTGGGTCTTTTATGCTCATTTAACACGTCAAGCTCCTACCCAGTAACGCCAAGCCTTGCTTTATAACTTTCAGATATTGAGCGAGCTTCTGTAACTGCTTAGGACCACAAACCTTAAGTCATTGAGCTCGACAGATATGCTGACTGTGAGGAAGGTGTCTGCAAGTGGTGCTCAGTAAGACCTCACCGGCTGAATGAGAACTTATTGATTGCCGTTGTTTGTTTTGAAACGCCATACGCGATCATTTGTTTTAAGAAACACTTTGGACAGTTATGCTAAAAACTATTTTTACAGATAGGTTAGCTGTATTATTCTCCGATTGTGTTTTCACAATGATTTAGATTTCAGTTGGAAAGCAAAGGGGGAAGAAAAAGAAAAAGAAAAGTGTCCCACATACAGCGTGATCTACCTTTATAAGTGCTTATTTGAACTAAATTGTAGTAACTAAGCCGCGCAAGTATTAACGAGTTTAGTGTCTTATCAAATGCTTTTTATGATTAAGATTACATACTTTAAGGGATACTTCACCCAAAAATGACATTTTCTTTCATCATTGCCCCTCTCTTCACTTTAAAAACCTTCATACTTTAAAAAAGCTGAAAGCCTGTAACCATTGACATTCATTATTGTTTTTCCTACTAAAGAAGTCTGTGGTTACAGGTTTCAGCTTTTTTTTTATCCAAAATAACCTTTTAGTATCTAGCAGAATAAAGAAACTTTTATAAAGTTTAGAACCATTTGAGGGTGAGTAAATGTTCCTTTTTGGGTGAACTATCCATTTAGTTGTGTATAAACGCATTTTTAAAATGCGTTTTTTTAATGTGCAACATCTTAAATATCATTACAGGATAGCATATATTTTAGTATATATTATAATTAGCATTTTATTTATAGAGTAGCAATAATTTGCTTCACTTAATGTTATATTTATTGTGTTAAAACCATGGTGTGGTAATCAGTGGCGCTTATTGAATTTCAGCACCACCGCGCGCTGGACAGCTCCAAATCCTTTAAAGCAGAGATTGATCGGCCGTAAACGGGAGATTTGTCTTCAAGCATTCAAGGTAGCAGTGACAGGAATAAGCTTTGTCATTTTTAAAGATTTGTTTTCTTGCTGTTGACTGACAGGGATGCTAATGTGTGCTCTTGTTAACGCAAGTTGTGATCAGTGATTTTAGCAATAATGTATCGCCACCTGCTGTACAGAGCTGACAGTGAACTCAGTTTTGCGCTTTTCTGGCTCCTGAAGAGCAATAATTGTGTGTTGGCGGCATCTAGGGGTTTGTTTGGCATACTGCACATTAAATATGTGTATGAACGTGTTAATGCTCTTTATCCTTACAACAGACTCAGTTTTACTGGTCGATGGTTTGTGGTACAGTTTGTTTTTTTAAGCCAAGTTACCGAAACGTCTGACAGTATTGTGAAACAAAATATGAAAAATAGCAAAGAGCTGTTACTCTTGTAGAAAGAATAAGGGTGATGATACATGAATATTGCCAAACCCTTCTGCATTTATAAAGCAAGTATGATATGTTTGTGATATCAGGTAGGTTTCCTAAAAATAGAAAACTTAAAGTTGTAGTAAATAATGCATTAATTAAAAAAATGAGTACACCTGTCACAATAATTATCTATACTATTAGTTAGTAAATATACTGCTTTTAATTGTTAGTTCATCTTATTTCGGTTCCTATAAATAAAATTAACTCTGTTAACTAAATATGAGCAATATCACACTCGTAGCTGTGCGATATGGCTGTATACCGGCACTGTTGGGAGGATGCATTGGCTCCTGGCTGCAGACCGAGTGCCTTAGTGTTCAACCAGTGACGATATGCAGCCATACGAGTGTGATATTGCGTTCATACAACAATTTGATTACATAATCACATATATAAAAAAAGGAAATCGAACACTGAGAGTCTAAAAATCTTTTTGTTTGAGTAACTACTCTTTTCCGCCATTCATTCACATCTGCAGCTGATGTCAGAACTATTCATCACCAATGTAAATTTAGGGCTATAGTATTTGAATAAAGTAGTTCCTTGTACAAAAGGATATTTGAGACTCTCCGTGTTTAAATTTCTTTTTTTATATAGATGATTTTGCCATGGAACTGTTGAATAAAAGCAACACCTGTAGCAGTGTGATCAGTGGCGAATTTAGAGATTTGGGGGCCCTAAGCAGTTCCGGCCATAAGGCCAAACAGTCCTATAATGCATTTTGTTTTCTCTTTTATGACTGAATCTTCCTTTTCATGATTTATCTTAATAAAATCTCTACATTTTAAGTGATTTGTTTTCTTAAAATGAATTCACAATTAAAAAAAATGAATTAACCGAAAATGAGCGAAGCAGTGGCGCAGTAGGTAGTGCAGTTGCCTCACAGCAAGAAGGTCGCTGGGTTGCTGGTTTGATCCTCAGCTCAGTTGGCATTTCTGTGTGGAGTTTGCATGTTCTCCCTGCGTTCGCGTGGGTTTCCTCCGGGTGCTCCGGTTTCCCCCACAGTCCAAAGACATGCGGTACAGGTGAATTGGGTAGGCTAAATTGTCCGTAGTGTATGAGTGTGTGTCTGAATGTGTGTGTGGATGTTCCCAGAGATGGGTTGTGGCTGGAAGGGCATCCGCTGCATAAAAATGTGCTGGATAAGTTGGTGGTTCATTCTGCTGTGGCGACCCCGGATTAATAAAGGGACAAAGCCAACAAGAAAATAAATGAATTAATTAATCGAAAATAATAAACTGTTTTTAATACTCAATCTTTACATGACTTGACTGCTGTACTGCTCTATGATGGTTAGAGACAAATTTGCATGGATGTTATAATTGCGTTACAATTTCATTTGTTAGATCTTCACCATACAAAATACACTCTCAGAAATAAAGGTACACGAGCTGTCACTGGGGTGGTTCCTTTTGAAAAGGTACACATTTGAACCTAAAGGGTCCATATTGGTACCTCAAAAGTATATAATAGTTCCTAAAATTTTATGAGGAACACTTTTGTACTTTTTAGGTACTAATATGTACCTTTGAGGTATTAATATGGAAATTTGTACCTTTCGAAAAGTTACCACCCCAGTGACAGCTCGCGTACCTTTATTTCTAAATGTGTGTGATAAAACAACAATGCTATCTGTATAATGTATACTTCTAGTTCTAGGTATTAATTGGGGGCCCCCAAATTTCCTGAGGCCCTAAGCGGCTGCTTTGCTGATTGATTAAATCCACCCCTGAGTGCGATGTGGCAGTATATCATCACTGGTGGGACACTCAGGCACTTGGTCTACAGCCTCAATCCAATGCACGGCCCCCACCAGTACCGATTTACAACCATATCCCACTGCTACTCATGTCATTATGCTCATACAACAGTTCTGTCTGGTTCTTGAATCTGATTGGCTGATACTTAATATTGCTCATATATATATATATATATATATATATATATATATATATATATATATATATATATATATATATAAAGCACTTTTTTGGTAACATTTAGTTTTAAGGTGTCTTTGTTACACGTCCAATGTAGTTACTATAGTACAGTTAATATAATAACTACAGTTCTTTATGCATAATTACACAAAACTAATAAACATATAATGTAGTTAGTACATGTAAATAGAGTCATTAATGCAATAAAATAATGGAATTTAGCATTAGAGGATGTGGTGCATTTTTCCTTGGCATGTAGTGCACTACATAATACGCATTCAAATCATCTGTTTTCCCCAGTGAGCTGTTGTTTTTATTTGTTCATTCTGTCTTCCTGTCGCTCTCTTTTTCTCGGCTAATCCTCTCTCTCTCTCTCTCTCTCTCTCTCTCTCTCTCTCTCTCTCTCTCTCACTCTCTCTCTCTCTCTCTCTCTCTCTCTCTCTCTCTCTCTCACTCTCTCTCTCACTCTCTCTCTCTCTCTCTCTCTCTCTCTCTCTCTCTCTCTCTCTCTCTCTCTCGATACTCTTTGCAGTCTATTCATTCACTGGAAATAATATGGTTTTAATTCCTGGCACCAGCTTGTCATGAAGCGTATACGTCATTTTCCCAATCCCTCCTTTTACTGCTCACTGGATTCTTTTTTCTTTCTTTTTTTCTTTCTTGTTCCAAACCCCCCTTTTTTTTTTTAAATAAATATATGTAACTTAGAACCACAAAATTAATCTTATGTTACACAGGTATATTTGTGGGAATAGGCAAGAATAGATTGAGTGAATTATCTTTCATATAGAAATTTTGTAAATTTGACAAGCTGTAAATCTACAGCTGAAATCAGAATTATTAAACCCCCTTTGATTTTTTTTTATATATATTTAGATTAAAATATAGGTTTAATATCAACAGGGAAATTTTCATAGTATATCTGATAAAATGTTTGATGATAATTTTTTTTTTAAAACCATTTTAAGCTTAAAATTATTAGCCCCTTTAAGCTATTTTTTTTTTCAATAGTCTACAGAACAAACCATCATTATATAATAACTTGCCTAATTACCCTAACCCGATCAGTTAACCTAATTAACCTAGTTAAGCCTTTAAATGTCAGTTTAAGCTGTATAGAAGTGTCTTGAGAAATATCCAGTAAAAATATTATTTACTGTCATCATGGCAAAGATAAAATTAATCAGTTATTAGAAATGAGTTATAAAACTATTAATTTTAGAAATGTGTTGTAAAATTCTTCTCTCCGTTAAACAGAAATTTGAGAAAAAATAAACAGGGGGGCTAATAATTTTGTCTTCAACTGTATCAAAACTTATTATTATTTTTTTTATGGCTGAGAATGGAATTTGGACATCTTTTATCAAATTCTCTG